TATATATAAATTATAACCACCAATGTAAATGGACTCAATGCACCAATTAAAATAGATCGGCAGAGTGATCAAGAAACAAAATCGAACAATATGCTGTATACAAGAAACACATTTTCCCCAGTGTGCTGTGCTGGCCCCACCTCCAGGGGTGCACTAGACTGAGTGTGATGGCGTGCATCTTTAATCCCAGTGCTTGGGCGGCTGAAAACAGGAGGATCATTATGAGTCAGATCTATGTAGTGAGACCCTGTAGATGCTGTACTAAAAAAAAAAGAAAGAAATAAAGAAACACATTTAACACAAAAAGAACCTCATAGGCTGAAAGTCAAAGGATAGAAAACAATACTACATTGTGCATTGAGTGCCAGGAACTCAGAAAATATCAGGAATAGCTATTCTGTTCACAGATAATATGAATTTCACACCAAGAATAATCAAACATGATAAAGAAGGTCACTATATACTCATTAGGGGAAAAATTCAAGAGGAACAGATAACAGACATGAATATGTATGCACCAAATATGGAAGTATCCAATTATATAAGACAAATTTTAAAGGATATGAAAAATCTAATAGCCAATAATACAATCTTAACAGGGGACCTTAACAACCCATTATCTCAGAGATAGATCAAATGGACAAAAAATTAGCAAAGAGGTAGCATAACTGAACCAAACCTTTGAACAAATGGACTTAGTAAACATTTACAGTGTTCAACCCAACAATGTCTGAATACTCATTTTTTTCAGCTGCACATGGGACGTTCTACAAAGATCACATACTAGTTCATAGAGCAAGCTTAAGTAAATGAAAGAAAACTGAAAATTTTCTCATGCATATTATCTGACCACAGTGCAATGAAACTAGAAATGAACAACAAAAGAAACGGCAAAAAACCCATAAACACATGGAAATTAAATAACCACCTCCTCAGAACCAATGGGTCCCAGATGAAATTTTTTTTTTTTGCGGAACCGGGGATTGAACTCAGATCCTTGCGTTTGCCGGTCAAGCGCTTATCCTACTGAGCCATCTCCCCAGCCCCTGGTCCCAGATGAAATTTAACAAGAGATTAAACAATATCTATAATTCAACAAAAATTCAAATATAACTTTTCGAAATTTGTGGATGCAATGAAAGTAGTCTCAGAGGGAAATTTATAGCAGTGAATTCACACATTAAGAAAACAGAATGAGAACAAATAAATACCCTAATGCTGCACCTCAAACTTCTAGAAAAAGAAGAGCAACCTAAGCCCAAAACTCAAAGATGGTAAGGAATTAGCTAACCTCATCAAAAAAAAAAAGGAAATAAAAAACTCAAATTCAATGAATGAGGAATGAGGAATGAAAAGGGTGAAATTACTACAGATTCTGTGGAAATTCAGAAGATCATCAACACCTACTTTGAAAATATTAATTCTCACAGGATGGGAAACACAAAAGAAGTGGACAGATTCCTAGATAGTTAAAATTTACCAAAACTGAACCAAGAAGATATAAGAAATTTGAATAACCCAACAGAACAGAAACAGAAAAACTAAATCTACTGGAAGAGAAAGTATGTGGAAATCTTGAAGACATAGGGGTAGGCAATAACTTCATGAACAAAAACCAAACAGCATGGGAAATACTTCAAAGAATCAACAACTGGTATTCGATCTTACTGAAAAGTTTCTGCATGTCAAAAGAAATCACCAACAGAATGAAAAGACCACCCACAAATTGACAAAAAATCTTAAACAACAATCATTCAGACAAAGCACTTCCATTTAGAATATATAAAAAAACTAAAAAAATCCACCTTCCAAAATTCACACACCCAATTCAACAATGAGCATCTAAGATGAACATACACTTCTCAGGAAGAAATATAAATGACAAATACATGAAAAATGTTCCGCAGCACTGGTCATTTGAGAAATCCAAATCAAAACAATAGTGAGATACCATCTCACCCCAGAAAGAATGGCTATCATAAAGAAATCAACTAATAACAAATGCTGGAAAGGGGGAAAAGGAACTCTTCTACTGTAGACTGGTACAAACTCTATGGAAAGCCAGCCAATATAGCTCAACGGACTAAAGTATCTGCTTAGGCAGGCTCTGTGTAGAAACTGTGCAGGAACTGTGCTTCAATCTCTGGCACCACATGTCGTGCTAGTGCCACCCCCAGGGCAGGCTGAGCTGGCCACAGAGTCTTAGCATAGTGGCATACACCTATAATCCAAGCACTGGGAGGCTAAAAACAGAAGACTCACTATGAGTCCGAGCTGCATAGTAAGACGCTATAACAACCAAATACATTTATAAAAAAAAAAAAAAAAAAGGAGTGGAAGTCTCATTCAATTCAGCTATCTCCCTTCTAGGTATTTTTCTAAAGGAAATGAAAACGTCATATCACGGTAATATATATGCACCCATATTTATAGGAGCACAATTTGTCATAGACAAATCTTGGAAACAAGCCAAATGCCCATCACCTGAGGAGTGGATAAAGAAGATGTGGTATTTTCTATACAATAGAACATTAACCATTAAAAAAGACGAATTTGAAAAGGGACAGCCAGATAGCTCAGTGGATTGATTAAAGCACCTGCTCAGGTAGATGCAGGGGCTGGGGAGTTCAATCCCCAGGCCTGCTGTGCCAGCCCTGCCCCTGGTTCAATCCCCAGGCCTGCTGTGCCAGCCCCGCCCCTGGTTCAATCCCCAGGCCTGCTGTGCCAGCCTCGCCCCTGGGGCCTGCTGACAGGGCAATTGAGAGTTAATGTGGTGGCACATGCCTGTAATTCCAACATTTAGGAGGCTGAAAACAGGAGGATCACTACAAGTCTTATCTGTGCAGTAGCGAGACCCTGTGGACTGTACTAAATATGTTTAAAAAAAAAAAAAAAGACAAATTTGAGGTCTTTATAGGTAAACAGATGAAACTGGAGGCTATATTCATAAGTGAAATAAATCAGACCCACATGTATAAACATTGCATTGTCTCCCTAGTGTAAGAACCTGAAAGAATAAATCTGAAAGGTACAATAGACATAGTAAAATGGAAAGAAAATGAACATAAGGAATAAACAATGGAGATGAGGGAAAGAAGAAATGACAGGAAAATAAGGAAGGGTAAAAATCATGCAGGTATATGTACAGGATAGCTGAGATGATTGCACTACTAATTTTCATCAGGTTTTTTGAAAGTAGCAGTAAATATTTTATTTTATTTTAATTTTTTATTTTTTGGCAGAACTGGGGATTGAACTCAGGCCTTTGCGCTTGCCAGGGAAGTGCTTATTCCACTGAGCCATCACCCCAGCACCAAATATTTTAAATTTTTACTTTGCTTAACTATATGCTATAATGTACAATCTGAACAACCACATTAAGGACAGCAATGTGCAATATAAAAACCATGGTCGAATACCTTTCATCCTGTTCTTTTAAATATGTACATTTGTAATGTCTTATCAATTATTTTATGCTCTCTTTAAAATAAATTAAAAACAAAAAGTAAAAAGGAAGACATTAGGGTTTATTGAAAGGAAGAAGTAATGTTTAATTGTTTTACCAATTTTGCATACCTACATCTGGTAATCAGAGCAAGAGATCTGATAAGAATATGTAATGTAACAATCACTGTTAATTTTCTATTCTTGTTTTGAAATTTTTTATGATTTTTATTATTGCATGCTGCTTTGTTTCTGCTTTTTGATTTTCCTCTTTAAAATAAAAAAAATCAGTTTTCTAAAAATTCCAGCAAGAGATGATTATGAAAAAAAAGAATGTCAAATTAGCTAGTGTTTTGCTCTGAAGGTGCAATTTAAAATTGATTCTCAAAATGGTCTATGAGCCATATATAATTTGAAAGAATAAAACTTTAGTAGACTCCAAAAAAAAAAAAGAGATGATTATGTTTTCAGTGATCCTCCAGTTCAACAAACTGAGCATTGTAATGAGGAAATTTTCAAGTGTTATTTGTTAAAGGCATACCTACACAGATACAAGTGTGCATTGCTGTAAGTATGAACATTACCTGGCTGATAGCCCAAAAGGGCAGTATTTCTTCTGCAGTAGCTCTCAACTGGTTGGACAGCTCATCTATGTAGAAAATATCTTCTGGCAGATGATAGTTACATTTGTTTACCTTAAAAAGAGTATGATCTAAAATCACATTGCCTTTTAATAATCTAATTTATGACATAAAGTTATACATATATATGAAATACAGGGTTTTTTTTTTTTTTTCCGTTTTTGGGTTTTTTGGTGGAACCGGGGATTGAACTCAGGCCCTTGCGCTTGCCAGGGAAGTGCTTATTCCACTGAGCCATCTCCCTGGCCCTATGAAATATAGTTTTAATTACAAAGTATAGCTCTATACAATTTCCCTTTTCTGATCAATACTTTCACCAATTTTAATAAAGAAATATGGTCAAAGATATAAAGTTCTGTCAGGTTGGTAAACGAATTCCTATGGCTCAGAAATACTGGACACTGTTTTCAGATCTTGAAAATACAAGTATCATACGAATGTAAGTATGCTGCACAAATTTAGCACTTTTTTCACTAAAGAATATGAATTGGCACACACTATTTTATTACGTGTAGGACAAAGTAAGATAAAAGTCATCTTGTAGACTGAATCACTTTAAGAGCAGAAATGGAAGTAGAACATGAGAAGAATACTAACAGGGCAGCAGACACAGGTCACATGTGTGTGGGGGGGCTGTAAAACATTCACAGCACTTGAAAAACTACCTTACAGTGGCCAAGTACAAAGCCTTTGAGAGTAGATGCAAGAGCTGCTGACCTTGCCCTGGGACATGGTCCCAGAGGCTTCCTGCTCCAGCCTCATCCTTAAACCCAGCTTCTACCAGGTCTACCATGCCACTGATGGCCTTGAAAATAAACACATTGCTCCTTCCCTGGACAAAATATTTAAAGATACCCTTCTGATATCAAGCCTTGTATATAGTAAGAGAGTACAATTCTAAAAGAATCTACTCTTAGGTATATGTCTAGGAAATATAAAATATCTGTGCATATAAAAGCTCATACACATGTATTTGCATCATTATTCACATTAATAACAAACTGGAAACAACTGAAATATCCCTTGGCTGGTGAAAAGATAAATATGTGGCATATTGATATATTCACCAATAAAAAGAAATGAAGTACTGTACTGCTAAATGCCACAAAAATGAATGACCCTGAAAACATAGTGAGTGGGTGAAAGAAGTCAGACAAGATCCACATTATTATTCCTTTTACATGAAATGCTGAAAACAGGCAAATCAGTGGTGGTCACCTAGGATCAGGCTATGAACAGCGATACTGCAGAGGAGTGATTGCTAAAGGATTTTGGACTTACACTGGGGATGATGAAAATGCTCTAGAATGATTGTGAAGGTTGTATGATTCTGTGGATTTGGTCCTGGAACAAAATCACCTGAATAATGAGGGACTATACTTAAAAAAAAAAAAAAGAGATATATCTTGGTTAATGAATGCTTTTGTTTGCAAACAATTTGGTTCATAAACAGAAGTGTTTTTGTTTGCAAATTGTGCATTGGATGACTTAGGTTATCTTTGTCACAAATACAAATGTGGCCATCTTTTCCAAAATCATAGAACAAATTAAGTTTAAGAACCAAGCTACTACTGTATCTGATTCCTTATGATTGATACGTGACTTAATAAGACACTAAGGGCATCAGGTGTGGTGGGATATGCCTGTAATCCCAGCGCTGGGTGGCTGATGAGTCTGAAGCAAGTTTGGGGAATTTGGCAAGATTCTGTCTCAAAAAATAAAATAGGCTGGGGATGTAGCTCAGTGAGAAGTCCCTGGTTTCAATCCCTATTGCTGAAAATCACCACCACCACTACCAAACTCCAATTGGCCAAAGACTTTAACAAATTTATGTGAGCAAGTCTTCATGGCTCACACAGTCACTAATTTGTCTTGGGGACTGAGGAAGGAGGATCTCAATTTCCTGACCTGCAAAGACAATTCAGTGAGACCCTTTCTAAAAAATAAAAAAGGGACAAGGATAGGGCTGCATGGTAAAGCTTAGGTTTAATTCTCAGTACCACTGAGAGTGAACGTTTGTATATATACATTTAGATTAACTCTTACCTCATGCACTTCTTTCATCATTTCTAGAAGAATTTTCATATTACAGACACTTAATTCTGTAGGGATGTAAGGCAGTTCAGAGACAATGGCTGTCTTAAGCATCTGGACCAATGTGTTCAAAGAAGATGCTTCCAAAGATGCCCAGAATTTTTCTGAGGGGGTAAAATCAACCAGGATAAACATGGTTTTCCTCTCAAACCCCAGATCCTTAAGTTTCTACTGGGTTCATGAATGTAAGAAATTTTCAATTTATTATGACATAATCCATAAAACATCTTTCTGAATGGTGCCATCATACACAATATTTTCTACTAACTGATGTGAAGGAAAAGGTTTTTTCCTTAAATATCATCAAGATTAAAATCTCAAATTTAGTAACTGAAAATTTGTTGATGGTTCATATTTATGTTTAACTTACAAGTGACTTTCAAATTAACAATTTTATAGGGTCTACAATCTGAAAACATATGCAGGTGAATATGCACAAAAATATGAAGAACTTTCATCTATAAAAATGAAAATAATATCTAGTATGCTTTTAGATTTGATGTACAATGGTTATATAGGGAAATAACTTTTGGAAAATAATTAATATTTTAATGTTGCTGAGATTGCAACCTGGACTTTGGTACATTAAGAGAACAATTCTCAAAAACAACTATTCAATGTTAAAATAAATTACCTGTGCTAATATAATTAAAATACTATTAACAAGATGCATGAAAGAAGTTCAATATAAGAGTAGAGATTCCATAAATAGACCTATCTACGCAAAGAGACTTTATTATACAAAATGCTGGCACTGCATATTGATGAAAATAAAAGAAATCATTCAATAAATGTATAAGAACAATTAAGACAAAAAGTAACATTTAACCTAGATAAATTACATGTGAATCAAAGACCTAAACTTAAAAACAAGCTAATAAAAAATTATATTGGAGAAGAACGAAATTCTGTCATTTGCAGCAGCATGAGTGAAACTGGAGGGCACCATGTTAAATGAAATAAGTCAGGCACAGAAACACACCCATGGCATGTTCTCACTCCCATGAGGCAGCTAAAAGATGAGCTCAGAGAATTAAAGTGGGGCTGGGGAGAGGACGGCTCCAGCTGCACAGCTGCAGCTGCAAAAGAAGAATAACTTCTAATGCTCTGAAGCATGAAAGGCTCAATGATTAACAATGTTTAATTAAATATTTCACAATAGCTAGTAGAGACAATTTTGCATATTCTGAATAAAAAGAAATGATAAATGACTTAGATTATAACTATGCCAATAACCTGATCTAGTAATATATACACATATTGAAATGTCAGATTGGACTGAACTACATATAATTACTTTGAGTCACTTAAAAATGCAAGTACATTTTAAAAATTATAGTAGGACCGTGGGAATTTGTAAAAAATTTCAGAGCGCAGTAGGCTTTTTGATGTATGGCCTCCAAAACTAGAAACCATAAAAGAAAATATAGCAGTAGATACATAAAAATGTTTTTTTAAAAAAATAATTCTTTATAGGGGCTGGGGAGATGATTCAGTGGTCTAAGTACCTGCCTAGCAAGAGCAAGGATTAAGTTTGATCACTGGTACCACATGCCCTACTGGCCCTGGAAACTAGGCATGGTGGCACACACCTTGCAATCCTAGTACTGGGGAGGCTGAGACACGAGGATCACTATCAGTGTGAGCTGTGTAACAAGACCCTATACAAGTTAATTAATTAATGAAAAATAAAAGTGCCAGTAACCAAAGGGAACATGACAAAGGGACCAACTAGTAGTTCATAGACTATAATAAAATAAACCTGAGATTTAAGGACAGTAGCACATCGTTATTTACAAGAAAAATTCAAATTTTAATGGAGAGAATTTCTTTTTTCATAATGACAATGATCGAAGGTGATGACATCCTTAAAAAGAACAGAGGCTGGGGCTGAAGAGATAGCTTGGCAGCATAAGCACCTGCTTGGCAAGTGCAAGGTCCTGAGTTTGATCTTGGGTAACATAAGCTGTGCCTCAGAACCCTAGAACCAGGTGCGGTGGTACACACCTACAATCCCAGTATTAGGGATCCTGAGACAGGAGGACCACTATGAGTCCAAACTGCATAATAATGAGACCCTGTATCAAAAAATCAAAAACAAATAAACAAACATGAACAGAGGCTCTAATCACTGATGAAGTTCTAAATGGGTAACTCAGTTGTTAAAAAAGTTGCCCTGGAGGCTTGTTCTAGGGCTGCATTTTATAGAGACAACAATGTGAATGGTGGCCACTTCAAATTGTGGCTGTTCCTTCAGTGAGGGTCAATTGACAAAATTTTTCAAAATAGAAATTTGATACTGTAATTTTGCTTCCTGGCAATGACCAGATGTATAAATTTACACATAAATATGAAGAAAGGCATAGCACAGTGCCTCCCTGGCAAGCCAGGTCCTTGGTTTGATTCTCGCTAACAGAACAAAAAATGGCATGCTAGCATTGTGACCGCTATACAAGAGTACAGTACATCCTCCCAAAGGAATCCTCTTCAGACAGTGTTGATTCATCACCTAAGGATCCCTGGGTTGGAAGCTTGAGCCCCACTGTGGCAATGCTAAGGTCATAGATTTTATGAGGTGAGGCCTGGTGGGAGGTCATCTGGGAACCTAGCCTGAGATGTGAATAAAGTTTTTAGAAAAGACTATTTAAAAATCCTAAGTCCATCCCCATGCAGTGCTCTGGCTTCCTATATCAAGATGTGATCATCTGCTCCCACACGTGTTCCTGTCATCACCACCGCCATGAAGCAACACTGCCAAGAGGACTTGCACCAGCCCTGAGCTGGTGCCAGCACTACACTCTTAAGCCTCCAACACTGTGATTTAAATAACTCTGTTCATAGGAAGCCTGCCTCAGGTAATTTTTAATAGTGATAAGAAGCTGACTAATGGAGCCAGTAAGTAGAATTAAGTAGCTTTATTGTCCTAGAATGGTAGAACCTCCATGATGCACAACTGAGTAGAAAGAAGTTGCAAAGGAAGAATGTGAATGGTTTCCTACTATTAGGAGAATGAAGAAAGCCAGCTGTGGTAGTGCATCACTGCTATCTCAACACTTGGGAGGGTAAAGATGGAGGACAGTATGCTCAAGGCTGGCCTAGGACACAAGAGTGTTACCTTAAAAAAATACATACAGGGCTGGGGAGATGGCTCAGTGGAATAAGCGCTTCCCTGGCAAGCGCAAGGGCCTGGGTTCAATCCCTGGTTCTGGCAAAAAAAAAAAAAAATTGAAAAAAGAATATTTTGTATATGTTTATATGCTTAGGAAGTCTTTTGAAAGTTGCACCAAAACCTAGAATTGGTAACTACCTTCTAGAACTAGATGTGTCATATTTCATTGGACCCTGAACTATTAGACTCACAATATTAGTTTAAAATTATAAAAAGGCATACTATAATACTGAGCAAAGTAAGTAGCAACAAAGTTTGGTATTTGTTTTTATCACCTTTTGTAAAAGTACTGAAGTTTCAAAACAATGTGAAAAAGTTTTAAAGTATGGATTGATCTTGACTGGATGTTCATTAAACATTGTAGTCTAAAAACTATTCACTTTTTATGGAAAGGGTAATGGTTATAAGAAGTTTAAATTGTTTTAGGATACTTTTGCAATAATTCACATACCCTGTAGTCAAAGGTGTATTGTTTTTAATGTATTTAATAGAGGGTCTACAGGGTCTCTCTACATAGATCAGACTTGTAATGATTCTCCTGTTCTCAGCTTCCCAAATTCTGGGATTACAGGCATGCACCACCACACCCAGTCTCAATGGCTATCTCAGGATGCCCCAGGGGGTGGGGCTGGCACAGCGTGCTGGGGATCGAACACTGGCCACTGTGCTCTGCCTAAGCAGGTGCTTTAGTCTGCTGAGCTATCTGGCCAGCCCTTCAAAGGTGTATTTTTTTTTCCAAAATTTTATTGATAAACAGCAATGAGACAGTTTCAAATCAAATCGGAAGTACAGTTTCAACAAATAACACACTGCATATATTCTTCTTAGTGGTTAATTGCTGTAATAAGAATTTTTTTTTTGTTCCTCGAATGCCTTCTGGGCACTTTTTGGCCGGTGGGAGAGTTGTGAGGTTAGAACTCCAGCAACCTGAGGCTGACAGCTTTGTGGAAGCAGCCACTTAAAGGACTGAGCTAGGGCCAGGCACCCCAAAGGTGTATTTTGAAAACCTTTGTCCAAAATTTGCTACAACCTCTAGAGACAGTATCTATTGTATGTACAGATAAGGTTACATAAAACTTACTCAGGATTTGTGAAGATTTGCCATTTAAGTTACAAACCGCCTGTACAAAGGGAATCACCATGTTCCTCCAGTTGTAAGAATCATGCATTACAGGACATTCTGGGAGCAGAAGGAAAACCAACAGAGCTTCTTGGTGTGGAGAATGACATGGAAGAGCTCTGAGAAGACTGGTTTCCAGACACGTAACTATCTGGGTTGAAACATGATCAGGGAAAATGCCAGAATATATTAGATGTCAAGTATTGTGAGAAGCAAGCTATGCGATCAGGGGTTTCATTCCAATATGCTCCAAATGAATAACCATTTAACTTTTCTGAAATCAGTCACCTCTTATACCCCAAATGGCCTTGAGGTAGCACTGGGGAGAGCCATCCTCACCACTTTACATCAGGGTGCATGAATGAAATAAAATGAAATCACATGTGCATGAACATACTAGTGGGGCACTTTCAAAACAATTATAAAACCCCCCAAAAGCAACAGTGTAACTGGTCACAGTGGTACGTTCCTCTTATTCTAGCTTCTAGGGAGGTGAGCCAGGACTGCTTGAGACCAAGGAGTAAAGACCAGTCTGACAACATAATAAGACCACATCTCAAAAATTAGTAGAAAAGCCAAAACTGTACATCAGTACTTTTGCTGGCAAGAGAAACTACTATCCTCTCCCAGACATAAAATTATTTTTTTTTCATTTATCAAACAATTTCAGAGCAAAATAGATTTGTAGTTTTTATATTATTTCTTGAGAAATAAACTTGCAAAGTAGAATGCATATAAAAACATATTAGTGAGAGAGCTGAGGAGATAGCTTGGTGGTCTAAGCACCTGCCTGGCAAGCACAAGGACCCAAATTCAATCCCCAGTACTTCATGCTGTGCTGGCCCCAGAACCCTGGGCACACTGTGCTGGTCACTGAAACCGTGCATGGTGGCACATACCTGCAATCCCAGCACTGGGGAGGCTGAGACAGGAGGATCACTATGAGAATGAGCTGCGTAGTGAGACCCGTTACCAAATGAAGGTTAAAAAATTTTTAAAAAAACATTAGTGGGAATAATCTATACAGCAGTCTGTTTATTTGCATATCCACTGAATACTCACCATGTCAGGTGATATTTAGATAACTTTATTTAATATTACTCATAATTACATATGGCAGGTTTTCCTTAATTATTTTTATTTGAAAACTCTGTTTTATAGGAGAGGAAGGAGAGACTTGAGTTGTAAAAGGGTAGAGAAAAGAAGCCATTCAATTAGTGACACATTGCAATTGTGACACTGGGACCCACACTCAGATTGGTCTGACTGAAAATCTCACATGGTATAGACAATGCCCTATGCTCTCCTCATCAACCTCTTTCATTTTCCTTCTGGGTTCATAGGAAGATGGCATTTCGCAACCTCCACCAAAGTTGCAGAGGGTCATGTGACTGAGTTCTAGCTAAGGAGTGTGGGTGAAAGTAATAGCAAATACTGTGGGGCATGGCTTGAAAAACCTTTTATGTGATCTTCCATAGGCCAAGTGTAAGCAATTCCAGGGAAGATTTTACTACCTGATGCTAGAAATTGGAAGAGAGGAACCAATGCAGAAAAATCCTGGATAGATGTGCATTTTACCTCCACCCAAACTGGACTAGGATGAGAGAAAGAAATGTTTACTGTGTTAGAGCACTGCATACAGAGGTTGTTTAAATAGCGGCTAGCACTATTTATTCTATTTAGTATATGTATACTCCTAACTATATTGTTTGTTGGTGTATGTTATAAGGATAAATAGGATGACACACACAATAATATGCTGTGTAGTGCTACCCATTACTTTTATTGCATTCAGTCTTAAAATTTATTTTTCACATACCTAAAAGCATACCACATCTGTGGATTGCTAATAGGTATTATGTGGAAAACAGCAACACAGAATCAGTAATTCCAAGAAATACAAGATCAAAAACATTAAAGTCCTTTCACTGTGTGCCATCAGAGAACGTGCGACTTACTAAATGCAGCATGACTCCACACCATGTGGCACACCCCCGAGTTTCCCAGAGCCTTGTGATGCTGCTGCTCCTCCAGACCCTCACTGAGCCTAGCACTGCTATCTTCCACGTCAGCTAAATTAGCTTATTTTAAAAATATACATATGTGATAACACTACTTCTACTTTTCATCTTGTGAAATAAAAATAGTAACTACTACACAATAAAAAATGCTCTTCTTTGCCTTTAAAATGCAGAGACCCATTCAGGCTACAAAGATGGTATGAAGATTACTTTCAGTTTTCTGTTTTGTTTTTTTGGTGCTAAGACTCGACCAGGGCATTGCACAGGAAAGTGCTCTGTACTGAGCTGTACCTCCCAACACCTTAAACTGAGGAAGTTTTCCAGGCATGCTGGCCACCTCTTAGTCCTAGTTACACTGGGGCATTAGGATCACAAGTCTGGGCAATTTGGCTAACTTAAGGAGGCCAAGTCTGAAAATAAAAAAATAAAAAGGACTGGGGATGCAGCTCAGTTGTGGAGTGCTTGCTTAGCATGTTCTGTATTCAATTTCTAGTACTTCAAAAAGAGCAACAAAAAACGCTTTAAGGTACAGTGACACACAAAGGTTTAATGGTGCTTCCATTATCTGAATAAGCAGGACAATCTAAGAATAAAGCTGACTTAGAGCCCTTCTCCAAGGCAAGAGAACAATTGCTTGGCCCTGGATGAAAAACTGTATAAATGAACATTTCCAAAAAATATCACACTTCGTACCTGTCCTCATAAAAGACAATTTTTCCTGGTATTAAATAAGAACTTTGGGGGCTGGCCAAATAGCTCAGGGGGTTAAAGCACCTTCAAGCAGGTGCAGGGGCCAGGGGTTCAATCCCCCAGGCCTGCAGTGCTGGCCCTGCCCCTAGCATGTGCTGAGCCATCAATTAAAACTGGGCGTGGTAGCACACACCTGTAATCCCAGCATTTGGGAGGCTGTAAACAGGAGAATCACTATGA